GGCTCCCAGGCCACACCGTCGCCCCCGCACTGTGGGAGGAGGAGAGAGATCGGGGATCCAGGTCCAACTCCCACTCCTAAGTCAACCAAACTGCTCAGCTTTTCCTAAATACGTTTGTGTGGCCCCCCCACCCCCACCCCATCGCCAGCTTTTGCTCATGCTGCTGCCTGAGCCTGAACGCCTTCTCTCACCCACCGCCCTCTGGCCGCTGAGCGCTGCACGTGCCTTTCAAAACTTGGCTCAAGGGTCTCATCTCTGAAAGCCCTTCTATCTTCTAGCTCCCGGGGATGGGCCCAGGCCCTCGGCCTGCCGTCACCTCCAAGAGACCCCATGCTTGCGGTGCTCACTAGACGCCGAGGCAGGGGCAAGGCGGGTGATGGAGAGCCCGGAGGACTCCCCGGGGGCACCTGCTCCTCCCTCCAGCCCACAGACACCACGCAAGAACAGGGGCCCAGCGAGGCCAGACCCTCCGCTTTCTCGTGAGAAGCAAACGCCTGGATGTTTTAACGTGAACTCTCCTGATTTTTACAACTCAGCCAAAATCGAAAAATGTGGAAACCACCCCGGGGGGCCAAACAAAGCACGTCTTTCTGCTGAGTTCTCCAGCGGCCGCCAAGAGCACAGCACGTGCTGTGCCCCTTTCTCGGGCAGGGAGCGTGTCTTACTTGCCCTGTATAGGGAGGTTTCTGGCAGGGGTGTGGCTGGGGAAAGGGGGGCCCTGGTTTAGTTACAGATGCTCCGCTGCATCATCTCACGTAATCTTCAAAAGCGCGAAGAAGGTGTCAGCCCATCTTCCAGCCAGGAAAACTGAGGCTCCAGGAGGCGAGGTGACCCACAGCTGGGGACGGACCCACAGCCAGTAAACTGCGGCGTCAATTTCCACCCTGGTGGATTTCTTAATGAGTGCAGCCCGGGTTCGACGAGGACGTGCAGGCCAGGCCCAGGAACAGCGCCCGCAACAGGAAGTACAATCCTGCATTGTGATCGGCAACGTAATTATTAGGGAGGGTCGGTCAGATACCTTATTGGGCCCCCTGAGGTTCCAGGCGCCAGGACCCAGTGGAAACCAGAGAGACCATTCCCGGCTTTCTCTGGCAGCATCATGCACACGGGAAGGAGGCAGGCACGGACGGAGGAGGCAGTAAGGGAATCAACACGTTCAGAGAGGGCCATGCCACAGAGCAAGGTGAAGGGCCCCAGCAGAGGAGCAGGAGCTGTCCTCCCTCCGGAAGCCCCGGAACTTTCTCCCACCCCCGCGGCTTTCCCCAGGGAGGCGGGATGTCTGTTCAGTGCAGCTAAATTCCTCCTGGAGTCCAATCCAACAGGTCTGGCTCTCCTCCACGCGTCGTTAAAGCAGATCTCAACATTAAGCATTCAAGAAAGCCGGGCCTGCAAATATTTACCTTTCGTTCAACAGCTTCCGACCCTCCCCTCAGGAGGCCCCATTAAGACGCCCTCCTCGGGGATGGGAGGCAGGGTGACTGGGAGAGCTTAATTCCAGACATTTCTCTGAGCAGGAGAGGCTGTTCAGACTCAGGGGGAGGCTCCCCAGTCTCTGCTCTGCTCCGCATGTGTGTGCACATGTGCACACGTGTGTGCACGCGCGCACACACACACACACACACACACACACACACCTTTCTTCCACATCCCACTGCATTTCAAAACCTCTAAAATTGTCCTCAGTCCAGGGTACAGCAGGAGAGGCCTGGAGGAAGGGGGGATCCACAAATGCCTCTCCCCCAGACAGGAATGGCAGGGATGGCTGGGAGACCCTGCACCCTCTCCCAGGGCACCAGCCCCACTCTCACCCTGTGACCCTCAGCAGACTCCCCTCATTCACCCCTGCAAACCCAGCTCCCACCTCAGTGTCAAGCAGAGGCTTCTGACCAGTGCTGAGAGGCCACACCTCACGAGACTGACCGTGGCCTGCTTCAAATCCCAGCTCTAGCACTTACCAGCTGTGTGACCTTAGACAAGTCACTTTACCTCTCTGTGCCTTGATTCTGCATCTATAAAATGGGGACACAATAGTACCTACCACCTCACACAGGGGCTGTGGAATTCACTGAGGCCACAATCTAGAGCAGACAGAAGAGTGTTTGGCACAGGCCATGCACCATACGTCTGCTGTGGTTATTCATACGGTTATTAGATTCCCAGTATCTGAAATGCCGTCTCCTAGGCCGATCATCCTAAACTCATCATTACCAAGCTTTACGTTTCACATGAGTAGCAGACGAAATGGATGCCTAAACACAAAACGTACCCAGCACATCACCTGGGGTATCATAGTGTGACTTCCCAGGCTGCTGACCGCTCAGGGCTCTCCCACTTGGGGTCGGAGGACACTGGCCCAGACAGGCTCAGTGCCTTACCCGAAGTCACACAGCAGCGAAGCCACAGGACTGGAACATGCCTGCACGCAGATCGAGTCTTCCTTCCACCCCTTGCTCCTTCCACAGCACCCCCCAGCCCCAAGGAGGAGGACGCAAAGGCACGGTGGGCCCCCGGGACCTCCCCCCTCCTGTCCCTGGCTGCAGTTCTGAGGACACTGGCCACTGCAGAAGGTCAGCCCCGCTGCTGCTGGGCAACTTGCAGCCACCTGTGCAGAGATCTATCCATGTGCTCTGAGCTCTGAGTGGGGAAGGCACAAAAAAAAAAAAAAAAAAAAAAAAAAAATTAGAACAGCCCAGCTAAGCTGAAATGCTCTCCTCAGAGAGGAAGGGAAATAAAATTTGATGAACCTCTGCATAATGTTCAAGTTATGAACGCGTAAAGTGATATTCTGCACATATGCTGGGTCCCATTCATCTGCCCCCACATTGCTGGGGCCTGAGCTGTTAGGGACCGTTCCAACCAGGGCACTGGCAAACGGCAACTTCTTGCTGATGGGGTACTGTCTTCCGTCTCAGCAAAACAGGGCTGGCCGTGGGTGCCCCGGGCTCTTCCACGGCCGAGGCGGCAGCTGGTGCAGTGTTAATGGGACGGTCTCAGACATCGGGCTGTATGGCTGCTATAAACGCATCCTGAGCTCCTACTGGGGGTCCCGTGAGACGCCAGTCACCGCCACCTTCCTAATGAGTGTGCTCTGTCCACGCCCGGGGGCAAGGCGGCCCTGTATGCCTGGTTAGTCTGACCCCCGTCCTGGCCCCAGCTGAGCCGCCCCAGGACTGGACCCCTGACCTGGGACTTTGGCGTGGGGGTGCTGGGAAGCTAAATCCGCCTGATGATCATAAAGCTTGAGCTGAATGAGCGTGAGGCACAGCCAGGCCTGAGGTCTCCCAAGAGAAGAATTCAGTTTATGACCCCAAGAAAAAACCAATTTAATAAACACCTACTAGGGGGCCTGGCCTAGTTGTAGGTGCTCGGAATACAGTGGGGAATATGACAGCGAAGGCCTTCTGCCGTGGAGCTCACAGCCTGCAAACTATCCAACAGACAAACAGAATAAGGTCAGATTGTGTAGGTGCCCCGAAAACAACAGCGACTAGAACAGAGTGTGTGGGGCAAATTTAGACCGAGTGATTAAGGAAGGCCTCTCTGAGCAGGCGGCATTCAAGCCGAGGCCTGAGTGACCCAGCCAGCTGAGTCTTCTAAGCAAGGGCGTAGCAAGTGCGAAGGGCCCCAAGGGGGTGAGCTTGCAGTGCTTCAAGGGACAGAAGGGACACCCACGTGGCACAGGAGAGACAGGTCCGTGTGTGCCTCTACATGCGACTCCTAGGCTTGAAGCCCTTCTAATACCCCGCAGAGAGTCCAGCTCCTCGATGCTGCCCAGCCCCGCAGCCTCCTTCCCCCTTTTCCTCCCCAGACTCTGTCATCACGCCGGACAACCCTTCAGTTCCCTGCCACTGAGAGGCATTATTACACATCCAGTCAGCTCTCCTAAAAGCAGACCCTGTGATAAGGATTTGACAGGTAGTTTATTAAGGAGGTGGTCCCAGGAAATATGCTAACTAGAAAGTTAGCCTACCTTCCACTCATTCATTATCCACCATCCATCCATCCATTCATGCATCCATGCATGCATCCATCCATCCACCCACCCACCCACCCGTCCACCCGTCCGTCCATCCATCCATCCACCCACCCACCCACTCACCATACATACATACACCCAACCACCCACCCACCCACCCATCCACCTATCCACCCATCCACCCATCCATCCATCCACCCACCCACCCACTCAACAAAACATACATACACCCAACCACCCATCCATCCACCCACCCACCACCCACCCACCCACCATACATACATACACCCAACAACACATCCACCCACCCACCCACCCACCCACCCATCCATCCATCCACCCACCCACCCAACAAAACATACATACACCCAACTACCCATCCACCCATCCACCCATCCACCCATCCATCCATCCACCCACCCATCCATCCGTCCATCCATCCATCCGTCCATCCACCCACCCACCATACATACACTCAACCATCCATCCATTCATCCATCCATTCAAACACTCACCATTTATTGTTACTTCCTCTATTCCCAACTGGACTCTGAGGACTCAGGTGATCAGATGCCTGGTGGTCAGTCCCTGACCTTGAGGAGACTCCTCCTCTAGCAGCCATCAACAAACAACCCCACTGCTGGGTCCTCTTTTCACCCAATGCTGTGACAGAGCCCAAGAAGGGGACCTGGGTTCATTCCCTGTGCACCCTTATCTTGGTTCTAAGAAGCATGGGCTAAATGGCAAACTCTCAGACTCAGTTTTCTTCTTCTTAGTTTCTTGGGTTCTGAGCACAAGGCAACCTCACGTCCAACAAAACATCAAAATGTCCCAGAAATTCCAACGCAATGGGGTCCAAACTCTGCCTCACCCAGACCGTCCCTTCTACCCCACAACCGCCCAGGGATGCTTCTGTCAGATCACTCACTCCAGTTTTTGACTGGAGCCCTGTGGCCACTGAGGCTGAGCCCCAGGCTTTGGCTTCCCAATGGTGGCCAGAGGCAACCCCATGTGTACTGACCTCTCCCGGAAGTACTTGATGGCCTCAGGGTCTATGAAGGTTGGCTCCTCCCGGTGGCCCTGCTCAAAGACCTTGCGCTTGTGCCGGAACTCAATGACCGTCTTGGTGTAGGAGTTGAGTGTGGTGACGGAGGCTGCCATGCAGCAGGTAAAGGACCCCCACGCCAGGCTGCCAACAGACGAGGAGAGAGGTGCCATGGTGAGGGTGGGCTGGGGACAGGAAACCCCACCCACCAGACCAGCGCTCCTCCTGCACAGCTGCCTCCTCTGAGCCAGACCTGAGCAGGTGCTGCCGTAGAGCAGAACAGGATTTGGTCCCTGCCCCGCTCACAGTCTGTGCACGGATGCAGACATGACAGAGTTCATCACTGGGAGGCAAGAAAAGGGCGAGGCCTTCTATCCAAGGGGGCCAGCCTCCGGGAAGGTCACCAGAACACAGTGATGCCTGTGTTGCCCAGGGTCTTGGAGGATGAGTGAGCCTTTGCCAGAGGGAAGGGCATCCCAGGAAGAGGGAAGGGAGTGCGCAAAGGTGTGGAGGCATGAGGCAGTAGAGAACAGTCTCTGGTCTGCAGGAGGTTGGGGATGCTGGAGTGAGGGAGAGCGTGATTAGGTGAAGTTGATGATAGAAAAGGAAATGGGGGTAGACACCCGAAAAGCTGGGTTCCATGGGGGTTAAATTACCTCTGTTCATGCATGCTTTGGGCAAGATGCTTAACCCCTCTGCCTCTTATTCCTCATATCACTTCAACGGACACATCCACAGCACCACTTCACAGCATGGTTGCAAGGGTTAAAGGAAATGAGCCATTCAAAACGTCTTAGAACAGTGCCTGGCGCATACAGCGGGCACTCAAGAACAGCTTGCGGTCATTACTACCATTGCTATTTTCAACCTTCTTACTACCCACCCACTTCTATCTGACTTCATCTCCAAACTCTCCCCCTGAGAGATTAAGTTATAACGACCCGTGTGGCTTTCTGTTGTCCACTTCCTCCAAGCACAGCTGCGGACTCTTGGCCACACGCACCTGATGTGTATGCTGAGCCAGCCGGGGCTGGAGAATCTGTCCTACCGACAACTGGAAAGCAGGGAAGGGCCGCACGGGGTAGGAGACCAGCTGTCCAGGCTGCTGCGTCTCTGACCCAGTGTCCGTTCTAGAAATGGTCTCCCACCTACTTCTGACCAGGAGTGGGTACCAGCCTGGTTCTACCGGTCAGGCCTCCCGGTCCCTGCTCCCCAGTCTCTGCCCTGATGACTGGTTTCCTCCAGATCAAGGGCTCAGCTTTGCTGCCCTGTCTCAGAGCATCCCGTCTCCCCTTTTGCCCGCCACCCATTGGGTCTCTCAACGTGACCACCATGCATTCCTCAAGGTCAGTGCAGCCCATCTCCCACACCCACTGCTCCCCTCTTTGTCAGCCCCTGGCCATCCAGAAGAAAAGCAAGGGGAAGTATGCGGATTCAGCCTTTCTCCCAAGGATCCCCTATCATCACCTGAACCTTATCACCAAAACCATTAATGGATTCTTTCATGATAATGACCTAATTTTGATCTCCCAGAAACTCTGAGTAGCTGTAATAGACACGCATGGGGTCCACTTGGCCCCTCTTAGAACGGCCTTGTCCATCAAAGAGTCCAGTAGGTGACCCCGCCCCCCTGTTCATAGATGACTGGATGAGGGCTGAACATCTGGGAAGTTGGTCCAATCAGATACTCTCTCCTCTGAGCAATGAAACTCAAGACTAGTTCAATGTGCGGTACGTGTTTAGACAGGTGGAAATTAAAAGCATGATGATGGCAAATGAAGAAACAGGTTTTTCTGGGATTCCACAAGGATACATAGGTTAGTTTTGCCTGACCAGCAACCATTCTGTTAAGGGACCAGTGCTCCCTCTTCTCAGGTCATGTGGTTTGTATGGAGCTGGCCTCACCACCCCCCCCACCCCCGCCCCAACACCTTTAGGCGTGATCACATGGCCAACACCTGGCCAATGAGAGCATCACTTCCCTCTGGCCACAGATATTGGTTCAAGGATGGGCATGTGACACCCGATCCCAGGACTCTTGCTCAAGCTGTTGGAAAACAGGGCTCATCTTTCTCCTGGGGTACCACACGGGTGGGATTTGAGCCTGGAGCTGCTGGGGCCTGCCTTGCCACTATGCAACCTGCTAATGAGGCTGCCTCAAAGCAGAGCCACGAAAAGGAGCTAGATCCTTGAGCTGAAGCCATTATCCCTGGATTTTTCAGTTATGGGTGCCCAAATTCCTTTATCAGGTTTTTTTTTTTTTCCCTAAGCCAATTTGAATTGGGTTTCTGTCATTGGCAACCCAAGTTCTTATACAATTACTTTTTATACATTCCCTTCTTCTACATAGCTTAGTTTTAAAGTGAATTTCTAGTCTTGTCTAGGAGCAGGTCAACTACCAACTCTGATGACCCAACGAGAGGAGGAGTCTCTCTCTATCACATAGCCCTGTTCAGTGTCCCCTCAGCCCTCACCACACCCTGTAATTCCCCTGTAGCTTTTCCCCCCTATTATTTATTATCCTTTGTTTTTAAATGAAACTTTCTATTTTGAGATAATTATAGATTCACATGCAGTTGTAAGAAATCATGCAGAGAGATCCATCCATGTACGCTTTCCCCAGTTACCCTCATGGTAACATCTTGCAAACATAGTACAAGCATATTGACATGGACACAATCGAGATACAGAATATTTCCATCCATCACTGCGATGATCTCTCCTGTGGCCATTTTACAGCCACACCCACTCCCCTCCCAAACTCTGGCAACCAGTAATCAGTTCTTCATTTCTATAATCTTGTCATTTTAAGAATGCTATATAAATGGAAATGCACAGCATGTATCTTGGGGATTGGCTTTTTTACCCGGTGTGATTCTCTGGAGAGTCGTCCCTGATGCATGTATCAACCATTTGTTCCCTGATATCGCTGAGTTTCTCCACATCTGCACCAGCATTTCATGTTGTCACTTTTTTTTTTATTTTAGCGATTCTGATAGATGTGTAGTAACACCTCATCATGGTTTCTATTTGCATTTTCCTAATGGCTAATGGTGGTGAACATCTTTCCAGTTGCTTACTTGCCATCTGTTTATCCTCTTTGGCAAAATCTCTGTTCATGTCTTCCTGCCCACTTTTTAATCGAGTTGTTTTGCTGTGGTTATTGTTTCCTTTTGAGTTTTGAGTGTTTTCATTGATCCTAGCTATGAGTCCTTTGTCAGAGCGGAGGCTAACAAGTCTTTTCTTCCTCAGCAACTTGTCTTTTCAACCTCTTAACAAGGTCTGTCACAGAGCAAAAGTGTTTAATTTTGCTGAAATCCAATTTATCAAATGTTCCTTTTATGTTTTTGATCCAATCGATATTAAATCTAAGACCTCTTTGCCTAGGTCTAGATTCAAAGATTTTCTATTTTTTTCTTCTAAAAACTTTACCATTTCACAATGTATATGTAGGTCCATGATCCATTCTGAGTTAATTTTTAGATAAGGCATCGAGTGCTTTTTTGTTCTGTTTTGTTTTGTTTTGTTTTTTTACCTATGACTGTCCAGTAGCTCCTGCAATATTTGTTGAAAAGGCTACTCCCCCCTCCATGGAACGGAAATGCATCTTTGTCAAATATCAATGAGGCATATTTTTGGGTTCCTTATTCCACACCATTGTTCTGTGTGTCTACCCCTCCACCAATACCACACAATCTAGACTACCATAACTATGTATTAAGTCTTGAAGTTGGGTAGACTTCCCAATTTTAGCCTTCTACTTTTAGCCTTCTTTTTCAAACTTATTTTGGCTATTCTAGCTCCTTTGCCTTTCCTAATAAATTTTAAAATAATCTTACCTATACCTACAAGAAATCTTGCTGAGATTTTCACAGGAATTGCATGAAACTGTATACTAACTCAAGGAGAACTGACGTCTTCACCACAAACACACTGTCTCTCTCCATTTATTTGGATCTTCTCTGATTCCTTTCGTTGGCATTTTGTGGTTTTCACCATGGAAGGCCTACAAATGTTTTGTTAGATTGATGATGAAGTGTTCACTGTGTTGAATGCAAATGGTGTTGTATTTTTAGTTTTGTTGTCCAACTGTTCAATGGCGGTTTATGGAAACATAATAGGTTTTTACATTATTTGTCTCATATCCTGAGACTCTACTGAACCTATACATCAGGTCTAGGCATGTTTTGGTAGATGTCTTGGACTTTTCTACATAGACAATCCTGTCATCTGCAAACAAGTCTGGTTTATTTCTTCCTTTCCAATCTGTATGCCTTTTATTTACTTTTCGTGCTTTATTGCACTAGCAAGAAATTCCAGCACTATGTTGAGGAAGAGTGGCGCTCCCAGTCTTAGAGAGAAAACGTTCAGTCCTGTTACTGCCTGCTGGAAGTGAGGTCCAGGCTACCCGTGGGATTTCCACCGCCACTTGGGGATGGGTGGGGCTTGTTACTTTCCCAGCAAAGTGACAGTCCCAGTTCCCTACTCTGGCACCACCACAGCAGGTGAGGGGGCACGCAGTTAGGTGCCTCCTTATAGCCTGGTGAGGGGAGTCTAAGCTTGGCATGAGTGGGGGTCAAACCACAGTTGTTGGGGTTGTTGTTTTTTTGTCTGTTATGTATCACTATACGGTTATTGCTAAACTTTCTGTCTTGGTAGGCTGCCCCTTTCCTGGTCTTTGGCTATAGAAAGTAGACTCCGTGGTGTGTGTGTGTGTGTGTGTGTGTGTGTGTGCACGTGCACGCCTTTTTGCATTGCTGGCTTGCTGACTTCTTCATTTGTAGATCGGGATGCGCTAGACAAAAAGTACTCACCAATATGCTCTCAGTCCCTGGCCAGCCTGCTGTCTCATGTCTACCTTTTAGCATCCTCTTATGCTGCTTTATGTATAATGTTCCAGGAGTGCTAGCTGGGACTTAGCAGGAGGAATAGGGAGAAGGATGTCTATTCCATCATCCCAGAAGCGGTAGCTCCCCCACTCCCGCCCCAGAACATCAGTTTCATGAAAACAGGAGCTTTGTTTTGTTCCCGGCTATATGCTCAGCACCAAGGACAGTGCCTGGCACATAGCAGGTGCTCAATAAATATTTGCAGAATGAATAAATAGAGATTGAACAGCTATAAAAATACTGCCCTGCTTTTAA